ACAGAGAAATAACCAAACACAAGGAAAGAAAGAAAACACTGCTCTGATACCACTTGTTGGTCCCGTATGGGTCTACAAGAATAGAAACAGTTTGTAGAAGGGGGGATGAATACAAACACAGTATTTTCAAATTTAAAATATATATTGACAAAGAAGATCAATACAGATTTTACAAGACTGTTTGCGGAAAGATAAGGTAAAAAAACCTATCTAAACAATCTTTGGTTACACACAGATCTTTAGCAATTACAAGAAAATAGATTGCTAAAAATAAGATGTTTTACTTAAGCTAGAAGAGGCTTGAAGTAAGAAAAGGATTGCAGAGAGATGCGCGCACTCTACAAAGAGAAGAAACACTTCTATTTATACCTAGTGCATTAAATGAACATTTAATGCAATATGGTAGGTTTAGAGTGCGTGGCAAGCCTTAACAGGAAGGCTTGTCCTTTGCTACAGTGAATAGTACAAAAGCACTATTCTTGAGCAGACATCCTTGCCTAAAGTTGGTGGACAAAGAGTCGACTAATCGGCTCTGTACCGTAATAAATTTTGCAAGGGTATGGGTTTGTCCTTTGTGTGCAAAAGGACAAGACAACAACAATCATGCTAAGCAAGCTTCTTTTGATCGCTAAATGCTGGGATGACCTGGAGGTCTCATCATCATTCGCTGAAGCTAGAGCAGTCTTCACACATATGTAGACAGGTTTGTAATCACTGAATACCGCTTCAGATCACGTACTCGCCACTCTCTAACCTTCAGTTTCAGTCTTCGACGTTTGCTGAAAGATCTTTGGTGTGAGTGTTGTCTTCTTGAAGTATTGTTTGTCTCTGATGAATTTACAATGCAAGTTCTTCAGCGATCACTGAACATACTCAGTGATGATCGCTGGAACTGAAAATAYAGMRACAYAAATACAACATGAAAGGAAAAAGGGATTATCATCAAATCACTGAGAGAGAGAGGATCAACAAGATATTCTAAGGAGAAACTTGAATACAACTTTAACGCTCTAACTTGAACCCAACAGGGGTTACCTGAACAGGGCATTGTGCTGAGAGAAAATGTGATAGAGAGGGGTGTGCCGGAAGGGGTAGCGTCTGATCATCAAAGTACTTCAACTAATAGTACTTCAACTTCCACAACTTCTTTTAGTTCGGAAGATACTGAAACTGATAATCAGGCGGCTCTTGGTGAACATTATGGGGATGATGACAATAATGATGATAATGGTGCTGACAATAATGTTCAAACCATTCATTCACAGAATATTCTAGTCGGAACATTGGTTGATGATATTAACGACATATTTCCAGAAATTTCTACTCAACAGACTTGTCCAAGTCTACATTCATTGTCGTTCGATGTTGAAGAATATGGAGCTCAATTTGATGAATATGATCGTATTCTAGTAGGTGTTGAAGATGAGGGAGAACAGTTGAAAATGTTGAGAGTATGTGTGAAAGGGACGAAGAAGAACATGGTGAGGGTGTGAGTGGAGCACAAAAAGAATATCATGCTCCTTACCTAGCCAAAACACATAGTCGGGCACCTACATCTACTACTGACATTCATTCATTGAATGTTGGTATTGAACAAGACATAGCTAGCCTAGCTATGCAAATGCACACCCCACCCATCCACTCAGTGGTTCTCAATAACCAGTTGTTTCAATTGAACACGGGGATATAGCACATCTGCTAACTACTTCTCATTTGGAGAACGTAGTTATTGAAACAAGTAGGTCATCGCCCCAGTCTACGACATCGATTCTGTGCACCTCGAGTCTAGCACCGATACACATAGGTACACACGAGTCTAGAGCATCTGTTGCTCCAAGTGCAGTTCTTAGTGAACTTGCTGGAATGACCAGAGTGGTGTCATTTGACATTTCACAAGGACAGGTCGGAAGTCCTACCAATGCTACCATCATGCCAACATTGAACGTAGGCAAAACAATTTATTCAACTGTTGTTTCAACTGGTAATCTAAGTGATACAGGTGTTAGCTTACCAGACTTTGTGTCACGGGAGTATTTGGATGGCGCCCTAAAGGCTGTTCAAGAGAATATGGATGCAGAGATCGCAAGTCTGAAGAGACTTTTGAAGGGGAAAGAACAAGTCATGGAAGAGCAACCGTCTGTGCCATCACCACCACCTATACCTGAGCCGTCGGTACAAGAGCAAACGGTGGATGAACTTAAATCGCTGTTGTACGCAAAATTGATGGCATCTCAAAATCCTGACGCTGAAGATGTAGACTTGGTTGGGCTCTTAAGACAACAATTGGATGTTAACCCCTTCGTTAGAGCCTCAGAGTTTTTGGCTTTTCAAGATGTGGTTACTTCTAGCTTCACAAAAGTTAGCAAGTTAATCACATCCAAAACCCAAGATCTTAAAAGTTCAATGGATGCCCTTGTTGAACGGGTGTCTACTTTAGAAGAGACGTGCAGATCTCAGGCCACCTCTCATAAAAGAAGGCATGATGATCCGGATGATCCAGATGATCATGAGGGGGAGAGGAAGAGACAGAGAGTGGCTGATACGTCTAAACAAGCTGCAAGGGTTGAAAGTGAACCAGTTGCTCAAGATGTGATTGCTGAAGCTTCTGCCTGGAGTTTGTTCGGGAAAGAATAATTTAGGCTATTGTTATAGAAGATTAATAAGAAATGGAGACAAATCCTATGATCGAGCCAATGGTTGAAAAGCCAGTGGACTCCACAGTAGGGACAAGGTTGTTATTGGACTTGTCTGCCAATGTAGGTTTTAATGATGTATTTTCTAATGTACTGGGTGGAGAGCAAGATTTTGGAGAGGACATTGATAATATTGACGAGTCAACTGGGTTTTACTTTGACTTTGAAGATGACGTAAATAATGAAGATCCAATTTTTCCTATTCAAGATGACAGTCAGACTATTCCAGAATCCTCCACTACAGATGTAACTAGTGTATCAGACATCTCTGCTCCTAGAGAACCTGTTGATCCTTCAAAAAAATTTACAAAGAATTATGTACCATTTCACATTCGAGCGAATTTTCCAGGATATGATAGAGAAAGGATCCGAGAGCCGTACTTGGAAGACATCTACTTTGGAATTTTTCTCCGTCGCCGTAAGGCTCTGAGCGGTGATAAAATCCTTGGTATACACCGGGAAACCAAAGATTACCGTATAGAGTACAAACACTTTTTGAAAGCTAAGCGCATGCCTATTAGTGAAGTTCGTACCAAACATCAGGTTGTCATAATCAAACAGATCGATGCTCAAAGACTTCTGAGAATCTGGTATCCAGTCTTCACCGTGACTAGACAAGATGGACAAATCTGGAGATTCAGTGAAGCTGATTTCTCAAGCTTATATTTGTAAGATTTAGAGTATATGTACTTTGAGATCAGAAACATGACTAACGGGAAAGAGGGAGCTCTGGTTGCTCTTGATGCTATTAAAAGATATATGCGGTGTCATGTAAAGCTGGCTATGGTTATAGATGTTCAGATGGGTTTTGAAGACAACCAAAGAATCATCAACCTTAAAAGACTTAATCAAGACTTAGAAGATATTGATGCTTATCCAGTCTACATGATTCTTGGAAAGCCAGAGTTCGGAGTCATATACTTTGCTCAGCTTCAAGTGAAGAAATATATGAGATTCAGCGAGTTGAACAAGTATTCATATGGTACAATAAGGCTGGTAAGACGGGCGCTTGACTTGAAAAGGGTGAACAACGATAGAGCTGCAGAGTCAGAGAGAATGAGTTCTAAAGAAAGATATATGTTGGTCAATGCCATAAATCTGCTCGAGGAGAAGATTCAGTACAAGAACGCTCTAAGGAGGTTAGAGAAAATTCTTGGACTTAGAAAGACAAAATTTTCAAGAGTCTGAACTTGAATCAAAAGGGGGAGAATGTTGGGTTCGAGTATGCGCGTTATTATTGTATTCAAGTTCTCCATATTTTACATGTTTTGTAATAGTGTAGTTTTATTCCTTCCTTAGTATAAATAGTAATTTCCTTTGTAATTGTCATTAAGCAAGTCATTAGCAATTGTAATCTGAAATTAGCCTTGTAATTTCTCTCTCAATCAATCAAGAGACTTTTGGTGATCTACTCTCTTCATCTTATTTTTTGAAGATCTTAATCATGTTTGTATGATTTTGGGAATCACATAAAGAGTTCAAGAATTCAAAAATTGACGAGTACCTTGCCGAAGAGGGAGGGAAAGATGAAGGAGGATGCAGAAAGAGCTGAAAGGGAGCAAAGGGATAAGGAAGAAAGAAAGAAGGAGAATGCAGAGATGAAGGGAAAGAGAGAGGAGGCAAAAAGAGCCATACTTGAGAGAGAGCAGAGGGAAAACGAAGAGAGACAGAGCTGAAGGAGAGATTAAAACGAGAACAGAGGGAGTTGACTCTGCAACAAGAGCCAAAGGAGGGGAGTGAAGAAGAAGAAAGTAAGGAATAGTAAGAATAGGATGATGAGTCGGCCGTGCTTAACGAGGGAGAAAAAGAAAGACGATCTCCATGGAAGAAAATCCCGATGAAACTGAGTCCAAGATGAATAAAAATTATGAGATAGATTTTGGTGAAGATGACCAAGAAGAAGAAGAAGAAGAAGAAGATGAGGAAGAGGAGATAGAAGGTGTAGAGGGAAAGCAGGAGCAAGAACGAGAGTGAGTGGTTCCTAATAAGAACATCTATTTCCAAACACCCACCCTAGTGCAAAGCAAACATCTAGCCCAGTTGATTGAATAACAGAGGCTATTGAAACATAGGTGCACACCTTGAACCTTAATCAACCTACCTAGCCAGAGGCTGCATCTACCACTGGTCTTTATAGCCAAATATTGCAAGGCCTATCCTCTCAAAAGGTTGACACCATTAAAAAAATAAGTGGTATGTCTCCCCATACCACGAAACTTTCCCATATAGAGGAATATGTTTCCTCTGCACTAGCTATTTTTCCCCAAGATTGTTTAGAGCAAGCTTTAGATGCATACGAATATGAGGCTCTTGACCAATATCTTAGTCCATACATAGATGACCTTCCATCCGACTCTGAATTAGATGTAAGAGCTCATTATGACAGAACGTTCGTAGTATTCTCTTCTAATGAAGAGGTACAAGGATCAGATGAACATCCTTCCAGATTCAATTACAAGCAGATCTGATTGAAGGTGTCCTTAGAACATGGAAGAGCAGAGTTCACCCCTACTGATTATGCCAGAAAGGCAGAGTTCCATGCCTTTTCCACCTCTATTCAATGCTCCTTGGAAGAGCAAAAACTCGCAATGGCCCGTGCAGAGCCATCAATCTCTGCATCTGCCTTGGATGATGTTCGAGCATCCATTGCGGCTTTGAAAGCTGAGCCTTTGACAAATGCTAAACTACTCGAACAATAAATAGAATTAACGGCAAACACCAACGCCACTCTGCAAAGGGTGGTGGATTACATTAAGAGGGAAGAGTCAAGGGCCACCATCACGCCTGTCTCTATGGACCAATTTAAAAAATTCATAGATGTGACATCTGTCAGTTCTGAAATCCAGGTTAGTATCTGCATAGGGTTTCCAAAATTAGAAATATAATTTATTAGAGCTTAGTTAAGTTGATTAGAACTCAGCTGGTTTAGATTGCTGGCGTTTAGGTCAAAAAGTCCTGTTTCGGCAAATAACTGATAAAGCTAATTTATGTAATGCCGAAAACTCTAAAAATTCTCCAAAATATGATAAAAGTTAATAATATAAAGTCCAAATTTAAAATATAAAAATTTTAATTTAAAAGTCCAGACAATTTCACAAAAATCTGAAATTTTGACCAAATACTGATTTTTATCGCCGGTAGCCATTTTAATTTGGTAAAATACATGATAATTAGGTTTTAAAAAAATTGAAATTGTTGGGCTTGGGTTAGGCCCATTTCTCCTAAAATAGTCCAAATGCTACGTTTATTTTTTTTAAATGAAGTTCAGTGAGTTAGGGTTCTATCCCTACTGGAATCAAATAAAAAGAGTAAGTTTTGAACCTTCAAATGTTTAGAACAAAATAAGTGTGCAACAGCACATTTGACAGTAGGTAAAACCTACTTTGGACGACCATATCTCTCTGGTTATTCCTCCAAAATGGTTTATTTTTTTTCTAGAACTTATTTTATTGAGTTATATTTCTAATGAATCTTATCTCACTCAAAAATATTTAGTTTTGAGCCTTCAAGTTCTTGATACAAAATTATGATGCAAAAAGAACAATGCTGACAGAATCTTGCATGCATTTTAAAACGGTCATATCTCCTTCAAAACTCAATAAAAATGGGTGATTATTTTTCTAAAAGTTAGCCTTATATGTTAGCTTTAAACTTCAGCTAGAATAACTGAAAAATGATGAGTTTAGTCCCCCCAAAGGGCGGTCACTTGAATAGTGTGCAATCTATCTTGGGGACTGTGACACTCAAAGTTGTAGAGTAATGATGAGTGCCTTAAACCCATCCAAAATTCTTGATATTTGGGAAAAATTTGTTTAACTCATTATTATTGATGATATAAAAATTTGGACTCAAAAAGAGTTGTGGAAGGTATCTTTTGACGACGTTTTATAAGACCAAAAATTCCAGAAATAAAATTTACCTTCTGTCCAATTTATGATTTTATGTGAAAAGGATTTCAAGTTTAATTTACATTAAAATGGACAAATTAAAAGACATTATGTGAAGTCCAAAATTCATACAAATATGATATGAATCTTCAAGAACACGATGAATGTAAGAATAGAAAGAATAGATCACCAAATGTAATTTCCTTGATTGAGAGAGAGAATTACAGCTCTAAATCTGATTACAATCTGCTAATGACTTGATAATGACAATTACAAAGGAAAATACTATTTATACTAAGGAAGTAATAAAGCTACACTATTACAAAAACATGTAAGAWATGGAGAAACTTGAATRCAACAMTAATGCTCATWCTCAAACCCAACATTCTCCCCCTTTGGATTCAAGTTTGGACTCTTGTAAATTTTGTCTTTCTAAGTCCAAGAATTTTCTCTAACCTCCTTAGAGCGTTCCTATACTGAATCTTCTCCTCGAGCAGATTTATAACATTAACCAACATATATCTTTCTTTAGAACTCATTCTTTCTGACTCTGCAGCTCCGTCGTTGTTCACCCTTTTCAAATCAAGCGTCCGTCTTACCAACCTTATCGTACCATCTGAATACTTGTTCAACTCACTGAATCTCATAAATTTCTTCACTTGAAGCTGAGCAAAATATATGACTCCGAACTCTGGCTTTTCGAGAATCATGTAAACAGGATAAGCATCAATATCTTCTAAGTCTTGATTAGGTCTTTTCAGGTTGATGATTCTTTGATTGTCTTCGAGGCCCATTTGAACATCTATGACCATAGCCAGCTTTACATGACACCGCATAAATCTTTTTATAGCATCAAGAGCAACCAGAGCTCCCTCCTTTCTGTCAGTCATGTTTCTGATCTCGAAGTACATATACTCTAAATCTTCCAAATATAAGCTTGGAAAATCAGCTTCACTGAATCTCCAGATTTGTCCATCTTGTCTAGTCACAGTAAAGACAGGATACCAGATTCTCAAAAGTCTTTGAGCATCGATCTGCTTAATTGTGACAACCCGATGCTTGGTACGAACTTCACTAATAGGTAGGCGCTTAGCTTTCAAAAGGTGTCTGTATTCTAAACGATAATCTTTGGTTTGCCGATGGATACCAAGGACTTTATCACCACTCAAAACCTTACGATGACGGATAAAAATTCCAAAGTAGATATCTTCCAAGTACGGCTCTCGGATCCTTTCTCTATCGTAACCTAGAAAATTTGCTCGGATGTGAAATGGTACATAATTCTTTGTGAAATTTTCTATAGGATCAACATGTTCTATAGGAGCAGAGATGTCTGATACACCAGTTGCATCTGTAGTGGAAGATTCTAGAATAATCTGACGGTCATCTTGAAGAGGAAAAACTGGATCTTCATCATTTATATCAGCTTCAAAGTCAAAGTAAATTCCAGTTGACTTGTCAATATTATCAATGTCCTCTCCAAAATCTTGCTCTCCACCCAGAACGTTAGAAAATACTTCATTGAAACCTACATTGCCAGACAAGTCCAATAACAACCTTGTCCCCACTGTGGAGTCCGCCGGCTTTTCAACCATTGGCTCGATCATAGGACTTGTCTCCATTTTTTCTTCTTCTTCTATAACAATAGCCTCAATTATTCTTTCCCAAATAGACTCCAGGGCAGAAGCTTCAGCAATTACATCTTGAGCAGATGGCTCATTTTCAACCCTTGCAGCTTGTTCAGAAGTCTCAGCCAATCTCTATCTCTTCCTCTCCCCCTCATGATGATCTGGATCATCTGGATCATCATGCCTTCTGTTAAACCCCACAATGCAAAATGTAAAAAGTAATGAAAAACAAGCGATGAAGAACCAGAAGACCAATGAAGACATCAAGGCAAAAACGACTAAGTCTGGAATTCGACCATTGGATCGATGGACAGACTAACCAGAGGATCGATGGACAAAGTTCAACCATTGGACCGATGGAAGAGTTCAACCAGAGGATCAATGGATGATGCGATGGAAAGAAGCATTCTCATTGATACTCTGGACAAACATTACTTAGAAGATTTTCTATCAGTTCATTCAAGCAGACCATGAAGATTCAAAGATAAGGATGAATTCATCACATCGTTAATGACAGCTGGAGATGACAAGTCAACAGCTGGAATTAGAGTTTATCTTGATAATAATGCTTATCCATATAAAAGATAAACCTTATCTGTTTATTAGAAGATTTGCTAG